TTGCCCATCAATCACACGGCATTAGCCCCACTCTCCCGGCGACGCGCAGGACTCGCGCACGCCCCCGATTGGCCAGGCGAAAGCCTCCTCTCCCATTCCCAAGCCCCGCCTCCCCCGGGCGCGCCCATTGGACGAGCCCCTCGCACCGAGCTGCCACTCAAGACGCCGGAGCTCCTTGTTGCGCGCCTGGCGAGCTCTGCTGCGGGGCTGAGAGGGGACGAGGCGCGCTGCATACCAACACACACGCTGCTTCCACCGGAGGACCCGGGGACCCGCCACCCGTTCTCAGAGACAGACGCGTCCACGCCAAGTTTGGCCACAGAGAATCCCAGAGCGCGCCCCACTCCGATTGTGGAATATTTGCTTTTTTTTTTTTGCCTCGGCTGACATTTTGCAAGCGCGATATAAACCGCGCGCGGAGTCCCTTTGCGCCGAGAGAGACGACAAGTGGACCCAGCGCCTCGAAGACCCTCTGGTTTGCGTGACATTTCCGACGCTGGAATAGTCCCGCCATCAACGAACGGAACCAAGCGCATCGGTGGAAATCATCACAAGTGCCATCATGGGCTGCCCCCTCCTGAGGAACGCGTTGTCCGGCTTGGTTCTGGTGCTGTTGTGCAAAGGTAAGTTGACGAGATGTGCGTGTGTTTTGCTTGATGCATTTCTGGAAGGATGCTGCGCGCCTGTGTGTGCGTGCGTGCGCCCGTTTGCATGCGTGCGTGAGCGTGTGTGTGTGCGTAATTCATCAGCGCGGAGCCAAGACGGAGTGCAACGGGTGGTGCATGTTAAGATGTTTCCTCGGAACCAAAAAAAACAAGAGACCGGGAGGGCCGGGATTTTCGGTACGTGACAGGAATGACAGCCCCATCTTGATGCGCGTGTGCAGCGTGTGCAGCGTGTAGTTGTAAAGGTGGAGCAGCACACGCAGAGGAGTTGGTGCTGTCACCTCTCTGCATCGACAAGGTCGACTGGGACACAAAGGGTGACGCATGCTGACAAGAGTGGACGGTTGCGGTCAAAGTTGAAGAAGGTGGAAGGGGAGGGGGGGGCCACCTGCAGAGAATGTTTTTCTTTGACCCCCCCCCTCCCCCGAGGAAATATACAAAAGAAGCTCTAGAAGGGTTCGTCTTGTTTTGCAGTAAGAGAAAAAAGGGGAAACTAGTGGTTTAAACTCATAGGTGTCCAACTCATTTCCTGGAGGGCCGCTGTTCCGCATGTTTTCCAAGTCTCCCTGTTGCAACACACCTGATTCAATGTCAGGCTTCCGCAGAGCTTGCTGACGATCTGATCATTTGAATCAGGTGTGTTGCAACAGGGAGACTTGGAAAACATGCAGGACAGCGGCCCTCCAGGACCGCAGTTTGACACCTATGTCAACTGCTTTCAAGGAGTAAAGGGGAGGTCACATTTGGAGTTTCAGGGGTTGGAGTTCTCCTTATTTTCCGGCAGCTGTCACTCAGTTGTGGTTCTGAACTGTCCATCTGGCAAACAAAACAAGCATCTTTGGATTAAGATAGTGTCATGATTGTGTTTGTGACCAACAGGTGGCACTGTAGGGCTCTCCCTGCAGCTGCACACCTGTTGGTCGTTATGTAATTATGCTTTAAAAGGACTCCCAGCCCGACCACTCATGGTCGGGTCATTGTTTGTTTGTTGTAGCTGTCATTTTCTTGGTCATGTTCTGGTGACTGTTAGTTCTTAGCTACAGCCGGGGTTTTGTTTGATACTTTGGATTCATTTTGTTTTCAGGGCTTTGTTTTGGATTTAGTTTTCTGTGTTTTTATCAATACAATTCTTCAAGTACAACCTGCTCCTCCCTCCTGCCTACTTTTTGGGGTCCACCACGCAACGTGACAGATAGCTTAACTAACAAACAAACAAAAAAAAAAAAAACGATACTCATGTCCATGCTGTGCCTCAACAACACTTCAGAATGTCTTTGTGTCATGGATGTGTTTCGCACGTTCCTGCTAACTGTACATAGCACGTTGTAGTGACTGTCTAGCACATTGTGGTTAGTGTCTTGCGCATCCTGATAATTGTCTCGTATGTTTGAGCAAGTGTCTCTTGAGCCCATTCTGGCAACCGCATCGCACATTCTGGTGACTGTTTCGAATAGCGTCATATTCTGGTGATTGTCTCATCACTGAATCGTTCCTGTAACTGTCAAGTACGTTGTGGCCAAAGTCGAGTGCATTTCGGTGACTGTTTAGGTCATCCCGGCAATGGTCAAGCCCAGTCTTGGACTCTCCAGTAAGTGTCTGGTTCATTCTGATAGCACATCGTAAAACGTGTCTAGCAGAGTCTGATGAGTGCAAAGCACATTCTGTTCACCGTCTCGTGCTAGCTTATTCTGGTAACTGTCTAGCACATCGTAATAAATAGCGAATTTTCACGACCAGGCGTCGTGTCAGCACACTTGATATCTCAAACAACGGTCATGTACCTCAGCCCACCGGTTGGGAATCAGTGAGGTAGAGGATTCCGGTGACCGCTGAGCCTATTCTGGTTGTTGTCTAGCACGTTTCAATGTCTGCCTTGCAGATGACTCTGTCCGGCCAATTCCATTGACCGTCAAGAATGTCGTTTGCCGAGTCGAGTTCAATTTGATGCCCGTCGAGGACATTCTGGTAACTGTCTAGCACAGCTCAGCGTGCTTAAAAAAAAAAACCCAACAACGCTAACATCGATGCAAAGTGCTTGAGCGTTCCTCCTAACATGCTTAGTGATCAATAAAGTTAGGAATCCATTCAAGCCTTTTTCCATCCATCCTCGCAGCATCCCTGAGTGCTCCCGGCGTGCTGTGGGACGTCCCCGCGTTTATTAGTTTTGCAAGACGTACTCAGCACGCTCAGTAATTATCCTCACGCCCCCACCGCACGCTCCTGTGCTTCATCTGTGCAGGCATGCTAAAAAACGCACGCAAACACACACCTGCCGCAATTAGTTCCACCTCCGCCCTGTGGGAAATCAGAATATAACTAAATTACCCTGACCCTCAATAACAGTAATTGATGTGTCAGTGCAATAAGACGGCGGGGGTTAACAACCTGCAGTAGGACTCCCGCCTCTCGGGGGCAGGAGTGAGTGGGCGGGCTGGCGGAAGGGGGGTGGGGGCGGGGGTGGTGCGAGAGTACGATCGGTCAAGCTTGACGGCGAGCAGACGGATGGCGCTGCAGGATGCATGAAAACACCACCAACTCAGTGGGCGCGGCCGCACACACACACACACACGCATCCAAGCACAGACGCATTTCATCTGCGACAGCCCGTGCAAAGGGACCAATCAGCACCGGTTTCTTCGTATGACCAGAGATGCGCTGCGGTCCCGCGAGCGTGTTGTTTGGGAGGAGGGGGGGGAGAATGTGAATAAATGATGCGGCGTTTGCAACTACCCCGTGAGAGGCGAGAGTGCACTCGCCACCAAGTACGCAGTTGGATTAGTTCCACATCAGCAAACGGTGGTGCTGGAACGGTCCTGTTCAGGTAACTGCCTGGCCGAATGCTGGTAACTGTCTCGTACACGACATTTTTTGGAGTCCTAGTACATTCTGGTAACTGTCTATGACATCATTGTAACGAGTACATTCTGGTCAGTGGTCTCCAATTCGCAAAGAGTCTCGCCAATTTTGCAAACTGCCTGGCACGTTCTGGCGACAGGTCAGCATGTTCTGGTCTCTGCCTTACACTTTCTCTTGAACGGGATGGACTCAGAGCCGTTCCGACAGCTACGGAGCACATTTTGGTCACTGCTTTGCTCCGTCTACGATTTGGCCCATTTTTACTGTCTATGCCGTTGCGGCCTTTGTCGCTTACCCACATATCATGATGCCCGACAGAGGGGGGCGCTCATGGCAGCAACTCAGATGAGAGCAGGTGGGCTCCATTTGTCACCTGACTCATGTCCTTCTGATTTCAGCGGCATATGTGGGTTGAATCTCGGTGAGCACAGCACCCCCCTACACTTACACACACACACACACACACACACACACACACACACACACACACACACACACACACATATTCATGCACATTCAACACCCGCTGGATCAAATGTGTTGGCGAGCTGAATAAGAGAAGGACCATGCCAGCGTCAACAGATGCCTGCTGTTGCTAATCTGGAAGCAGTTTTTTTTCCCCCCTTCCCCTCTTCCTTCTTTCCTCCCTGTGAAATCCTCATTTTGTCCTCCCGACTCGGCTCATACAAACGTTTTCGGCTGGCTGGCAGTGTTCATTTTTAGCGCGCCACCATTCCCAGTCAAGAGCCACAGGCAGAAGGGTTGGAGGTTGAGCCAGCCTCGAGTGTGCTCAACATCCCACGACTATCACCCCCCCCCGCCCCCCTTTCTCCCACCCTCCGGTGCTGCTTTTCATTCCCGTTTCTTTGGTTTGCTATATGCTGCAGTGCTTCAGACATCTGCTTCTTCTTCCCTTTGCCGAAAATCCCACAGCGGCATCACCTTTGGGAGAGG